TACTAAAAATGTGTGATTTCTCGATTTGCTTGCTCTGATCATTACATATCACATAATTTGCATGTTTGGTATATTCCTCTTATCAATCTAGCACGTAGTGATAAATCCAAAAATAAAGGTATTCATACTACTCGAAGCACATCACGGACGATCACGGCTCCTATAGATAGAGAAGAGAGTCAGCAAGAATCTACTGATGGCCCAACAGCTAAAAAGCTAAGACGTATTGATGAACGTATAAGACGAGTAGAAAACACAGATGCAGTAGACTTTGATGTCACCCTGCTAGATTTTGCAGGACAACAAGTCTATGAAATGTCTCATCAGGTCAGTCATTATATTTTTTATTATCCTTCCTTCAGACAATAGCTGTATTCGTAGTAAAATGTATAATCCAAATTACACATTTATATTCCTATATCTGACATCATATCATGTAGTGTATATAGTCTACCATGATAGCAATTTATTTCATGAATCATGTGATTCTCATTGAATGGAATTCAAAATGGATAGATTTCATTTCAATACAACATTTATACTGACGTACGTCTTTATATTAATTTATACAATATATTTTGAATTACTTTCTAGATGTTCATGGCCATGCTGGGAGTTTATATTCTCGTAGTTGATTTGTCTCTTAAACTTGATGATGTAGTCCCTGATGAATTTGAAGGTGATGGTGGGAAAAAGAAGAAGAAGAAGAAGAAGAAACAGAAGACTGTGAGAGGTACGAATTTAGGTATTTACTAATCATTGTCTGTGGTGAGATATTGATTTGAATATATCTCAGACTTTAAAAAAAAAAAAAAAAATTGGCATTCAAAGTATATTGGTATGTGTAGGTATGCATTGGTATGACAACCTAATAAAACGTAGCATGGCCATTCTGAATGAAACAAACTTAAGCTGACAAATGAATTCACTTGTAGTATAGCGATTGCCGCATCAGTCACGTTCTGTAGACCCAAATTCAAATCCTACCTCAGAATGAACATCGAAAAAGTCAACCCCTACCCTGGGTGAGTGTGCCACAGACTCAATGGGAAGGCCAATTCCACTGGCCGAGATTCATTCACTAACTAATGCGACTTTAGGGGATAGCATTTGATAGAGAACATGAATATGACTTCTGTGGCAAAATGCACTATATGTCAGCACTAGTACCTGCACTATATGTCAGCACTAGTACCTGCACTATATGTCAGCACTAGTACCTGCACTATATGTCAGCACTAGTACCTGCACTATATGTCAGCACTAGTACTGCACTATATGTCAGCACTA